TAAGTAGGTATAGACTTCTTTTCTTTAAAGACTTTTATAAGTTTTTCTATTTCTATTGTTTTTGTGTCTTGGTTACTAGAATCAGACTGATGTATTGTTTGTTCTATTTTTAGAACGATTTCTTTTATTTCACTAACTATTGTTAGAATTTGTTGTACATTTCCTATTTCCGGATTTTTAGACATTTATTCCTAACTCATTTCCAATTTGATTTACAAGTTGGATTACTTTATTTAGTTTTTCTATTAGTGGGTCAATTTTTGGAATTTTCCCATCTAATTTTGTTAGAGTTTCTTCTAATCTGTTTATGTTTATCTTATTAATATTTTCTATGATTTTATCAGCTTTTGCTGCAATATCAAGAATTTCTGAAAGTAAAGTATCAAGAAATTCAATATTTCTACTTGTTTTTTCGAGTCTTTCAAGAATTAGGCCTTGATTTTCTCGAATTTTTTCAATATTTTCCCAGAGGGGAGTGTTTTTCATTTTTTAATGCTTTTTAAGTGAGTTAGTACCGTTATGAGTAATACTGGTACATTTTCTTTAAAGGAGTGGTACAAAGATAAAATTGTGTTTTATCTAATTGGTATAAGGGTAAAAATGTATTTTTCCCTTATGAGGGGACCAATTCTTTTGTCTTTAGGGAGTGGAAAGGAAGAAAATTTTGTTAGGGATTGAAGAGGAAAGTGAAAGTAGGTTTGGGGATTTAAAAGGAATTAGCCGTTTATATATTCGTCAATTATATCAACATATATTTCATTTTTGCAATTGAAAAAAGGCTAAAAAAACCTTGCCACATTTATATATTCGTCAATTATATCCTTCTATACAACAACATGAATTTTTTTGTTTAAACAAAAATTGTAGAAAATATGCCGATCTTTGGATCTGGATCTTGCCATGGATATCTCGCGTGCACAATTTCTTGCGATGATCTGGATCTCGCCGCTTTCTTGCGATGATCTGGATCTCGCCGCCATTGGATCTTGCGATGGATATCTCGCGTGCACAATTTCTTGCGATGATCTGGATCTCGCCGCCATTGGTGCATCTCGATCTCAGGTGCACGATCTCTGCCATTGGATATTCTGATGTTATTGGATCTCTGGATCTGGATCTTGCGATGGATATCTTGCGTGCACAATTTCTCGCGATGGATCTGCTGGATCTCGATGGATCTGTTGGATCTCGCCGCCATTTGGTGGACGTTTCTCGCGATGGATCTGCTGGATCTCGCCGCCATTGGTGCACGATCTCGATCTCAGTGCCATTGAATATTCTGATTACGATCTCGATCTCAGTATTCTGATGTTATTATTTTTGTTGGAATTTTCCAATACATTCCAATGAAAATTACAATAAAAATTAATATTTCGTTGAAATTAATTTTCATTTAAAAAAACTAGATTGAGCAAAATGCAACTTAACATCATCAGTACTTGCCCACTATACAGATCTTAGCACTTGTACGAAGTTCTCAGTGAGTTTTTTTTTATTATTATTATTTTTAAGATTTATTCACTTTACTATTATATTTTTTTTTAATATTTTAAACTTTATTAATTTTTCTTCGTTTTATTAGTTTTTCTTTTATAGTTAGGATATGTGTAGGGATTGGTGGGATGAATTGATGCACAATATCTCTCTAATAAAAACTACAATGTGTATAGAAGTTACCATTTATTTATAAATATTTCTGATTAGTTAGAGAAATATCCATCCATATATCTCAATTATTCGGGATAAAATCAATCTGAAGCCTCTAAAAATAAGCACTCACATTGTCGTCAAATTATTTCTCGTATGAGACAGAGAAAATAGTGCAAAATGAAGGTTAACAATGGCCGTGCTCAAATGTTTTATCTTGACCAAACCTTTAACAATGGCCGCGCTCCTGTTTAGTTGATAAAGGAGAATTTTGTGGATATTTGGATTATTATAATTCAAGTCGTCGTCAAGTCCAGCCGTGCGGGTTGGAGTTTCGAGTCGAAGTATTCCGATGGATTTTTGAAATCCACCGGACTCTAGACACAAGGACAAAACCGGAAAAGCCGAGCATTATATAACCGCAACAAGAGCTTCTTCACGGAATCAAGTATCAGACGGTACATTTACCGACTGGTATTCAAACTCGACAAGCCTTCAAAGTAGCACAAACTGGTAGTGACGATGAAGAGTACTCATGTCGACCGATCCAAACACGGGGGATTACTTGAGTTCATCAACAAGTACAATATGGAGCGAAAACGAAACTTCCTCTAAATCTTATGAACCGATTTCGAGAGCTAGCAGTATTATTAGCAAATGCTACTCATCAAACTCCGATTTGCGTGCAAGTTCGAGTTACTCGTCAGCATCGAACAACAACAGAGGTAATAAAGGAAAAACCTGTAAGAAACGAGTCGGGATATGGAAGAGAGTGAAAGATAAAGTGGCAATCATTTTTCACCACCATCACCATCACCACCACCACAAAGGTAAAGCCGATATATTCGAGAGGCAAGATGATGAGGTGGCGTATGGAGAAAATGCGGTTGAGAAGGTGAAGAAGTCTATTGTTCGCCAAAAGTTTCAGCCGAGACATTTTCACGGGCTCATCAAAGGTCTCTTTAGGCATCATGATGATAGGCACCGCACAGACTATTATATGGCTAATAGCATTTTTCGATGAATTTTTGTGATTTGCAGAGTAAGATGGGTGAAATGTCGGGGTTTCAATTAGGTGTGATTGGTGTGTTGTTCCTTTCAGTGGCCTCATCGGTCTCCATTGTCATCTGCAAGACTGCAACAAGGCCTTGATGAGTAATCTTGGTTTTCCCTTTGGTAATTAAGAATTTCTTTTATAATGTTTATTCCCTTTTTCAAATTAGCCTGAACTTCTGGGACAACATATAACATAGTATTCACTTTCAATATTTACGATAAGCTTCAAAAACTATCAAATGAACTAATGCAATTTTTATTTTTTTATTCGATCTGCATTGATTTAATAAAATCATAATATAATGACAACGTGGTACTCACTAGTTGGCACCTAATGGTAACATACTGCAGTCTTCATGTTGCTTTACGTTTGAAATTCTTCGAAAACATGACGGTCGATATGAAGACCGTGATGCTTTTCGGTATCTTAAATGGTGTTTCGATTGGATTTTTAAATCTCAGCTTGGGATTTAACTCCATTGGCTTCTATCAGGTACATAATAAGACAGAATCAGACCTCAAAGGAAAATTTATGTAATTTTCAAAATTCTGCAGGTTTTTTCCATTGCATTTTGTTTTATTTATTTTTGGTGTTGTTTACTTGTGCAGATGACAAAACTTGCAATCAAACCCTTCACTGTCCTGTTGGAAACTCTTTCCTGAAAAAGCAATTCAGGCTAGTAAAATATGTTATAAAACCTTGTCAAACACAAACAGATACATGAAAATTGAAACGATTTTGATTGAAAATCAACAATATGTAATCTTCAAACTATTATTTTATTTCATATGTATTTATGCAGCCAGAAAATTAAGTTCTCTCTATCAATCTTGCTACTCGGTGTCGGCATTGCATCCGTGACCGATCTCCAGCTCAACATCGTTGGCTCGGTTCTCTCCCTTTTAGCCATTATAACAACTTGCATCGGCCAAATCGTAGGTAATTATCATCTCTTTATTTTTTAAAAATTTTTTCATTTTCATTCTTGCTTCGTGTCATTAATAACAATTGCTATCGATTTTTTTTTTCTTCTTTTTTCCATCATTTTCAGCTGACAAACACGATACAAAAGAGACTAAACGTGTCTTCGACCCAATTACCGTATCAATTGGTCCCATTTCAAGCGGCGATTCTTTTCGTGTGGTCCCTTTCTTAGACCAATGCCTCACCAAACAGAATGTCTTTGCCTTCACATACTCTCCCATTGTTTTGGACCTTTGGTATAGTTGCTCTTTTTTTTTTTCTGCATTGTGTATAAAAATAGTTGTTGAAGGGGGATTTTTTCGAACTGACACTTCTAACCTCGAAAACCGATTAATAGGGATTCATATTGCTCTCGTGCATTATTGCCGTGTTTGTGAACTTCAGCACATTCTTGGTAATCGGCAAGACATCGCCTGTTACTTATCAAGTTTTAGGCCATCTTAAAACGTGTCTCGTTCTTGCCTTTGGCTACACGCTACTGCACGACCCTTTTACTGCAAGGAACATTATCGGATTCTCATCGCCATTATAGGCATGGGTTTGTATTCCTATTTTTGTAAACATAATCGAAATCTTTTGTCTTTTCATGGTATTTTTTGGAATAAAAATTTGGGATTTTATAAGGATTATTTTTTGTGTTCAGGTTAAAGAGAAGAATACCACACCTCTTCTGGTGAGCCATCAGGATAAAGAATCCAAGGCCTCAGTGCTTGTTTAAGTTAGATATTGGTGTTTGATTAGTACTATTTCATTTGCTTCTTTTTTTTTTAATTTTTTTTTTCCCATTGTAAGAGGCCTAAGGAGTGTAATGCAATTTATTCTTTTAATTAATAAATCTCTCATGGACATTTCCAAGTTGGCACAGAAGAGGAAGAAAAAGAGTGAATATTGAAATTCAGGGGAATCATGTTTTCACCATTAAGCCAAATTAGAAGTCTTATTAAATTTTAGATTTGATCTATAGATGTGATCTGAATACAGCAAGTTTTTGCTTCCAGTTTGAAAACTATTATTATTTTCTTTAATTTTCATATTGAAATCATGCTTTGGTAGAGGGTTAGGTGATCAAAACATTGCCAAAAATGCCTGTAGAGAAGGAACAGGTCACAATTTGGTATAAATCTNGCAGCGGCCGGCAGATCCAGAAATTTTAATGACCTAGGGCAAAAAATAGTTGAAATTTTTTTCAATCATATTGCACAAAGTATTTATATTAAGAATTAAATAAATCGTTTGAGCAACCGAGAGTTGAGAGCTTTTCTAATCAATTTTTCCTTTGACGTGATGCTAAAAAATGAAATTGAGAATTAGACATTGTCATTTTATTTTACCGTTTTATTATTATTAAGAAATATACTAAAAATATTTTACAATTTGTTTTTTTTGTAATAAGTTATAAACAAGTCATTTTGAAATATAATTTAGTAATTTAAGAAAAGCTTAAATATTTCATGTTATTTTATAAAGAGTTCCTTATGGGAAACATGTTATTTTATAAAGAGTTTCTTATGGATTATCTTCTTACTAGTAATCACCCGTGCGATGCACGGGGATATTATTATATATACACTTTTTAAAAGACAATTTTGTATATAAATTGTGTAATAATGCAATGATCATGATCATAAGAATAAACATATAAACATATAATTAAACTGAAAAGATCATATATTATTGAACACTTCCCTATATACAAAATTATTGGTTTGATTATTTGGCACGTCATCTTCGCCACAAATTAAGATTTTTAAACCTTTTCGGTTAGTGACACGGGAGATAGCAACATATAATTGGCCATGACTGAACACTGGTTTCTTAAGAAATAAGCCAACATGAGATAAGGATTGTCCCTGACTCTTGTTTATAGTCATGGCGTAAGAAAAACCATAATGGAAAACTGTCGCCGCTGGAACTTGAAAGGAATTCTAACATCAGAAGGGGTTATGGCCGTTCTTAGAATCAACACCTGATCACCAGCATGATCTCCTGTGAATATCTTACACTCAAGAACGTGAGTGGATAGCTTTGTCACAACAATCGTGTCCCATTACACAATCCCATAGAATGATCCATGTTCCGCAACAACATGACTGGAGTTCTAATCTTCAAATACAACTCATGGTTCGGTATTCCGGAACACTTGATACTATTCAAAAACTCAGGCGTATGGAGATCAGACAAAAAATCATTATTAGAATCCGATTTGCACGTACTGTTAGAGCTCAAGTACATACGACCATCCAACAAATTCAATGATGTCATGTACTCATTGATAGACTCGACCACATCTAACGTCGGCGCTAATATAGCCCTATGGATTGTCGGGTGCCTCTTTATACATTGGATATGTGCTTTCAACGATCTGAGCAATAGGATCATCAGATGGCTGAAGCAAAATGTCCTCGGGTATGTCTATAGCTGGGGTATGTCTATAGCTGCACATCCATCATTTGACCCCCCGATAGTTCCATCTCCGATGTTGGCTATCCAATCTGCAAACCGTGCAAGCTCATCACGTTCATCCGAATTAGCAAGTCCCTGAAGGCGCATGTTTTTCGTAAGCCTAAGCACAGTACAACTTCTCCATATGTCAGAAGCATTAATGGCAGCATTGACTATGTCCTGACGGCTATCCTTTGGAATAATAGGAAGGATTTGTCGAAAATCTCCACCAAAAACAACGGCTTCCTACCAAACGGTTTGTTCAAGTTCAAAGGATCAATTGCTCCCATAATACCCTGTAGCGATGTCTGTACAGCTTCGAAACAATGCTTGTGCATCATTGGTGCTTCATCCCATATTATTAGAGAAGCACGGATTATCAATTCCGCTAGTGGGCTTGACTGATTGATGTTGCAAGTAGATTCTTGGTGGGGATTCAATATTATAGCAAATCGAGAATGCGTTGTTCGTCCACCTGGCAACAAAAGCGATGCTATTATGCTGGATGCGACACATAAGACTATGTCGCCTGGATCTCAAACCAGCAGATAAAGTCCTCTACAGGTACGTCTTCCCAGTTCCACCATAACCATATACAAAAAATAGCCCTCCTTGGCCGGAATCAACAGCGGACATAATTCTTGAGTAGACACTCCTCTATTCGGCTGTCATTTTCTTAAGAAGCATATCGTTTTCAACAGCGAGGGCCTTTCGATCATAGTTCAATTCATCCAAAATTAGACGATTCGAACATGAATTGATGTTCTCCCTATCCAGAAATGGCATAGTTAGTATTCACGAAGACTTGACCCACATCGTCTCAATAAATTCTCAATCTCAGCAAGGGCCAGGTTCTTGATTTGTTCTTCAGTGAGCATCAAACCTATAAACCAATTATTTGTCACAACCAATCGATGCATTTAAATTTTGAAAAGTTGCACACAAATTTTCCTAAATAGTTGGATAAGGTGACTTTAGATATCAAAGATGAACCGCTTTTGTTACCAAAAAATGTGGGCACAATTTTGAATGTACATCCCGTCCAAATATCAGTTTTATCAAATAAAAATTGCACGTGGTTTTAACCAATTTACACACTTTTTTTGAAAGAAAAAAATATTCAATAAAATTGGAAGAATTGGTTAGACATTATACAACTATTTTTTTCGTAAATTTGTATCCAATTTGCACGGTTTTTAAATTGATTTGTATTTAGAATTGTTTTCATAAATAATTGACACATTTTTTACTTAAGAATCTCTAAATTTGTTACCAAAAAGTATATGATTTAAATTTTGGTTAAAAGATAAAATATGATACGAAAAAATGGGATTCAAATTTTGCCATAAAAATCTCCAAATTTGTTACCGAAAAAATAGGATTCAGTTTTTGTTTCTAAAGATTTACATGTGTTTTTTGAACTTTCCATTAATAGTAAGTCAAACATTATATTTATTTGGTCAAACTTTCTATTAATGTATTTTTCCAACAACCTCTTTATATATATATATAGATATGTAAATAACTAAATATAGAGTTTTACACGGTCAACTTCTACCGCTTTGTAATTCTATATGTTAAGTTTTTAGGATCCAAGATAATTCATATAAATATTGATCTTTATCCAAAACTTTCAATATTAAACACTTGAACTAACTTAAATTGTAAATACATTTTAAAAGTTAATAACACTCATGTATGTTATCATTTTTGATATATGATAAATTAAATTAGTCATATTTTGACAATCTAAAAATATTCATATTGTATATATAAATTAAAATAATTTTATCTATCTGATCTCTATCCATAATAATTTAATATTATCATTTATAATTGAAAAACAATAAATTTATCTATCAAGCTTATTATATGGTGGAATAAATAAACTGAGTTATTATTTGAGACTACAACATGAACACACATTACTAGTTCGATCGAAGTTTAGAGAAGATAATATGTTAGCCACATTAACTGACATGTCCGAAAAGATTCACGGGATAAGTCGATCATTTGAAAAAGTAACATTTTGTTTGAGATAAAATAGCCTTGATTTTACAAATTTTAATGGTAAAAACATAATTATACATATTTTACATGCGGTATGTAAACACCACGCTTCAATTAATAGTCACGTTGTTTCAATGGACATATAATGTTTTAACAGTTTGTCAAAAATAAATTTAATCTTAAGGACTGTAATGCAATTTATTATTTTAATTAATAAATCTCACATGGACATTTCCAAGTTGGCACAGAAGAGGAAAAAAGAGTGGATTTATTTACTTAAAAAAAAAACAAAAAATGAAGTGGACAAAAAAGAAAGAAAAAAAAATCAAGTCGACCAAAATAGAAAGCCCGTATTCCTTAAATACGTTTTTTATTGTAAACCGTATTCAGCAAATACGGTTTTCATTATAAAACGTATTAAGTGAATACGTTTTCAATAAACAAATATTACGAAAGTTAAATAACGTAATTAACATAATTAAACTGTACAAAAACGTATTTCCTAAATACGTCTTATATTTCAAAATTACCAAACGTATTAAAGAAATACGTTTTTATGTTAAAATTAATTTAATTTTATTTTTGTAATTATAAAACGTATTTAAGAAATACGTTTTATAAATAAAATCAATTTTTTCATTTCGTGAAAATAATTTAATTTGGGGAAAAAAATTTAGAACATAAAACGTATTTGTTAAATACGTTTTCCTGTGTAATTTTGCCCCAAATTGATTTTATTTGCCCTAATTTTAATGTCAACAGAAAACGTATTTACGAAATACGTTTTTGAATTAAAAAGAATAGAATAGAAAACGTATTTAAGAAATACGTTTTTTGTATTAAAAATATATAACCTATTAGTCAAATACGTTTGTATACAAAATCCTGTTCACTATCAAATACACCTGTTTACAACCCAAAAATACACCTGTTCACAACAAAAAAATATACCTGCTCACAACCAAATCCATCATACCATAATTCTTCGAACAAACAAATGAAACACAATAATTTGCCGAACAAACAATATATACAAAACGATATAATTCGGTTTATACATACAATCCAACAATTCAAAATAAACACAAAATCAACAAATTCAACACAACTAACTAGGAAGGAGTGAATGGTTGTGTAGGTTTGCGCGGTCTAGACCCCCTCCTCCGAGTATATACCACGTGTGAAGAAGACGAAGGTCCAGGTGTGAGAAGCGTGTCAGTTTGAAAAGCCTGCTCATCTTCCTCTTCTTCATCTGAGTAATTCAAATGAAAAAAGAAATTATAAATTGAACTATAAAAAAAAAAATGCTAATTTAAAAATCTCACCTTGTTGAGGCTCGGGCTGCTGAGGTTGGAGGTGCTGGGCGGACGGCTGAGCGCGGGGACGGGTCCGAGCTCTTCTACCCCCACCAATGTTGGGGGCCGGTTGATGCCTGGCCGTGTGTGACTGTGTCCTCATGGGGGGAACGTATTCGTCCTGGGAGAAAACTTGACTAGACGGCCCCCCATGTGGAACACCCTGGCCCCCAACAGTCATAGAAGAGTAG